TGTCCGACATACCCCCTTTATCCATGGCTACACTGTTTTTAAACTTCTTTGAAAAATTGGAACTTTATGTCATATTAGTGACTTTTTGCAAATTATTAATGATTATTTCTGAATATTTGAGATAAATATTTCACCAAGAAAAATTAAAAATCGAGCCTTTATGACAGAAAACCTTTACATGTCATATAGCTGCTGTCATAACTTCACACAAGTCCTAGTTTACACAAGTCATAACTTGACACCTTCCGACAAATGGGTCTCACTTAGTAAATATTAAAAGAAAGAGCCATTTTGCCGATTTCTCTAATATTGGGTTGATTGATAAATATGCAAAGTGGATTATTCTCAACAAACGAAACGCAACGAAATGAAGCAAAATGAAACGAAATATCTAGTCAACGAGTACAACTACTATTATTTAATTAGTAAATAATGGATTTCACGATTGTTCAAAAATTTGTTAGTATTTTAGTCAGACAAATCTTCACAGTACATGTATTTATATAAATAGTGTACGCCTAAAGTCCTGTAAGAGTTATAACCAGAGTCTCCTGGAGGGGTAACGAGAATTTGTGTATAGATCTATACGGGATTGACACCCCGCACCTTCGCCGTTCGCTACAGCTTGACTGGCCAGTCTAGGATGACAAATGTCTTAAACGAAACCGACGCATTAAGAACGTCATAACAGGCACTCCGTCATATTAGTATGGTTAAAACGACTCACTAGAATATATCAGAAATGTAATTATATAGATTTCACTTTTGGTTTACAAACAAATATGTTTTGGTTTGTTCAAATGAAACTTTTCTACACAAGTGTTATGGTTTTTCAAAGCTACTATTTTATACATCAGAAAATATAGGATTTTCTGGAGGAAACAATTATATACGATTTCGAAAACGACTAACTAAGACACACATGCAACTATACTCAAGTTGAAACAAGACATACAACTATTTTGATAAGAAAATATTGGATTTTCTGGATTTCTAAACTATCATCAAAGTTTTATACAAAAATGCTTATGAACTCACCAACATATTTTATGTTGACGCTTTTCAAACGACTTGTATTATCAGGAAACCAATAAGCAGGTTGTGGATCGCGGACTCAAGATTGTTTTGCTATATTTTGGATTTGCTTACTAATGTCTCTTTTGTGAAATTTGAGAACATAAACATGATGTGTAAACAATGTAAGCTTGTTATATTGATGTATGATGTTTGGATTTGCTATGTTTCATTTATATACAATTGTTATGATACTGCGCAATGAAGTCACCCGCTTCCGGACGTTTCCGCCGTTCTTGTCCGGGGGTGTGACACGTCGACGGGAGGGGGTAGAGTGTGTCAGTGGATCAGAGAGAAACAAGTGTTAAACGGGCGGAGAGAGGAGGTGTCTATGCATCGATTTAGGGTGTGTATGCGTTAACGAGAAGTAATTGTTGCATGAAAAAACAATTTTGTGAAAAACGAATTCATAAAATCACGGTTGTGAAAAGTATATAAGAACTTGAAAATAGATATTCGTAAAAACAAAATAAGTTTTCGAAAACATAAAAAAAGTTTGGACCAAAATTTGGAGAAAAACGAATAATCTGAAATTTGAGTGGGGTTATCATGTGTCCAAGCATTGATTGGCAGAATGAATTAGTTGGTAGGGGTAGCACGTGCTACCCTTTAATTTATTCCTAGAAATTGAATAAATGTGATATATTCCTCGTTTAAGATCCAACACAAATATCCAATTACATTGAAAATAAATGTCTAATAGTAAGCCCATTAATAAGTAATTTAATTAGCTCATTAATTCAATGTAAACGGGGGCATATGGTTTTGTGTAATTGATTAATTGTAGTAATCAATATACTACGACATGAGGAAAAAAAAAAGAAATCAATATTTTCTTTGGTTCATCTGTTACAACTGCAACCAACACCGTTGAAAGATATTTTTTCACTGAAGACCAACTTGTGTAATAAAATGAGTGATGATTTTTTGAATGATGTTTTGATTTGTAGTGTAGAAAAAGAAACACTTATGGATGTTAAGATCGAACACGTGATAGAGCGCTTTCGGAAAATGAGTAATCGTAGAGGTCAACTTAAAATGTAATTATGTAAAGACTTTTGCGCTAGTTATTTATTTCTAATGAAATCGTAATGAATTTTTTTTTATATTACTATCTTTTATTGGAATATTTTTTGTGCTACCCCTTTTAAAAATTAATGGCTCCGCCACTGTCCAAGTTTGAAAAAAAAATCAATTGAAAAAGTACAAACCGAATACACTTGATGAATCGTTTCTTAAATAAACCAAGATTTTACCGTGACTGCAGTTTTAGAAAGACAGGAAAGCGAAAGCCTATGGGGTCGCTTATGTAACTGGATAACCAGCACCGGAAATCGTCTTTACATCGGATGGTTTGGTTTGGTGTTTTGATGATCCCTACCTTATTGACCGCAACTTCTGACGGAAAGCACAAACTTAATTAGGTGATGGATATATACTGTAACGTTGTATGATATGCTTCCACCACAAGCCAGCACCGCTGAGGTGGCGACTACCGGTGGGAACACCACACCACTTAGGGCGGTGTACACACTCAAAACCCATTCGAGGAGACTCTAAATTCCCTTTCCTCCTTTACTCAGTTTTGTATATAAAACTTGTACATAATGTTTTACGTGTACTAATAATTCGTTATTAGACTTCAATATAACTAAAATGATCTTGACAATTAGTACACCAAGCCTACTAATAATTTACATAATGAAACCGTACATCATTAATACAACATCATTTTAAACTTAAAGGGAACATTGCAAGTTTATGGTATGTTGAAACTGTTGAAATACTTGGCCAGCTTCCACCATACCGAAATCATAATGAAATTTGACATCATATTGAAAGTTAAGCACTTGGATGAAACTTCAAACTAAGTCCATGACGTTATCAATGAATATAATCCTCACCTCTATTATTGAACGTGGCATACATGAGGCTTTAATTATGTTCATTGAAGAAATGAATGCTTTCGTATCGTTAGACATAAAATTTAGGATATGTGACATACACCTAACCACTTACCGTCTCAAGTACCTGGCTTCTAATGATTTCCATGGTATTTCTAAGGCACACAAGATGCCTTACAAATGTTAAAGCTAGAAAAGAAACCCAAGACAGTTGTTTGACATCCAATCTTTATACATAAAATTGTGAAGAAAATGCTGTCAAATATGATATATTACATGGTTGTGATTTCATTTCGCTCAAAATAACCGATGTAGGTCATCTTGAAAATGGTTAAATCATCAAATTAGTTTGACTAGCTATTCTTAACAACATTGTTTCATGCAAAATGGTAGTTATTTTAAAAAAATATGACAAAATTGAAAAAAAAAAATGATTTTGTGCTTGTCAAAGTTATGTGGTTTTTGGTCCAAAAAGGTTTTGTGGTGCATTGGTGATCCAATTTTAGATATTTTGTGTGGTTGTGGTCCATACCCAAATTGAAATAATTCAATAATTCATTTTATTATTATATTTCTATATATTTAATTATAAAACCAAAAAGAAAAAATTATACCCCACCCCACCATTCCTCCTTCAACTTACCTGCCCCATACTTCTCTCATGCTCATCGTCTCTCTCTCTCCTTCTCTCTCTCCTCTCTCTCTCTCTCTCTCCTCTCTCTCCTCCCTCCCTCTCTTCTCTTCTTCTCTCTCTCTCTCTCTCTCTCTCTCTCTCTCAGACCACCAACATCATCGGCACCATCATCGCCTTCCATACACCACCACTTGTCGGACACCACCTGCTTACCTATATTTACTTCATCGGCGTCAACCTTCATCTCCTGAAACCACCATCGGCGACATCCTTCTTCCTTCACCGGGTGGTTCTGATCTACAAAAATTAACGAAAAGTTTCAGAAACCACCACCACCGGCGCCATCCTTCTTCCTCCATAGGTGGTTGCTTTCTGTAAGCCATCCATAATCGTTATCACTAACATTCCCTTCACCCTCCATACTTCCATTCTCAGCCATAAACCGTTCACCACCACTCATTGATACTTTCAACCGAGATTGGGATTAAGAAGGAGATGCAGGTTTAATGAGCAGATGAAAATGAGAAAGAAGACGGTAAAGGTTCTGATTTTCACAGATTTGGGTTTAAAGTCCCTAGGCATCGGAAATCTACATATGGATCTAAAGGCGTCGTTAGAGTTTGAATTTAGGCCTTGTCCCAGTTTGTTATCCTATTCTATAGTTGATCTCCTATCGGTGTCGTCTCTGTTGACAAAGTTTGTCGCTCCTTCGCCGAAGTACAAACAAATGGTGTGTCTGAAGGTTTTCGGGTGACATTTAGCGGCAGACGGTACATGAGAATGGTGGTGGTAGTCAGGGTGTTCTTGAGTGTGTGTGTTCTTGAGAGAGTGAAAGAGATGTGAGAGGGATAGAAGAGATGAGAGGTACCAACAGTGTGTGTGTGTGTGTGTGTGTGTGTGAGAGAGAGAGGAGAGAGAGAGAGAGAGAGAGAGATAGATAGTATGTGTGTGTGTGATAGAGAAAGGGGGAGTGGGTCATTCTATAATTTTTAATTACTTAAAATCATTACAAATAATAATAATTAAAAAAAACGAAAACAAAAACAAATAAGAGTGGCATAATTGTCTTTTTAAGTGGATAGCCACCAAAAGCAATTAAAAAGATCAAAATTAGACAATTGATATACCATCAAAACTTTTTGTACCAAAATTATAGAATTTTGCGGACCAACCATTTTTGCAATTTTATCTAAAAAGATAATCAATTTATACTATTTTTTTTATTTTTGTGATTATCCTAAATAAGATACATATGTAAATAGATTTAAAATTAAAAAGGTAATATAATTAGGCCGTCTTGATGGTAAATGAGAATATTATTGGCGACGGAGAAAACATGCAACTCAATATGTCTTCTTGCATTGGGAAGGGAAAATTGAAGACCAATCATGACGTTTGCCGGTTACACACGTTTGAAGGAGAAAGAACAGTTTCTTAATCGATTAGCCTTCATCGCTTATAAAATTGAGAGGATGGGTAAGATGTATAACACATGAGTGAAATTAAGAAAGAAACAACGGTGGTGAAGAAGTCATTTTCAGAGTAATTTTCCGAAGAAATTGAAGGTAAGCCATGGTTAATTTCTGAATATAATGTTATCTAGTTTCTAATTTCTTGTTTACTTGTGGTTTTCAAGAAATGACAATCACCTCCGATCACCCCAAAGACAAGGAACAACAATACCCACCTCCGGTCAACACAGATGACCACTATGAACAACCACCTCACGTGAACCACCACCACCGTGAAGAACCACCTTTCTCTCCTCTTCCACCTCCCTTCGACCAGTTTCGAAGTTACAGAGAAATATCGATTCACCTTACTCACCTCCTCCTCCACCTTACCGGCCTCAACCACCAGAACGTCTGTTGCCACTACTGTGATGACGATTCTTCTCTCCCACCAACTCCAAACGCCAATGGCGACAACCGAAAACCACCTGATACCTTTGATTACTACCTGGCAGAGAGCCACCGTCTTGCACCACCATCACAACCTTCCTACCATGTCTCTCCTCAGTGCAGCCATCATAGCCTTCACAATCCTCCGATTATCTGTTCACACAGTAACCACCAAAACCCCACAAATTATACGGACAATAAACCCACATTTCGGGTTTATACAAAGGCGAAAACAGATTACTCTCTCACTATCCGTAATGGAAAAGTGATTCTTGCTCCAACCAATTCTTCTGATCTTCACCAGGTTTCTTGTTTTCATTTTCCGATAGTACATGTGCTTACTTTTTCTTCCAAATGTTTCACCAACACCAATTTGTTTGACATGCATCTAAACAGCATTGGATCAAAGATGATAAACTTGGTAGTAGCATTAAGGATGAAAAGGGCAAACCCGCTTTTGCCTTGGTCAACAAAGCCACCGGAGAGGCTATGAAATTCTCTATCGGTGAAACTTATCCGGTATGTCATTCTACCTTTTTTTGGTTAAAACATGTTAAGAATCAGGTTTTGAAGGATAGTGATTGATTTATGATTATGCTTGGTGTAACAATATAAACTCCAAATATATTATCGTTTGTGTGCTTACCCTTACATTATTTCTCAGGTTCAGCTGAAGAAATACAATCCGGATGAAATCGACATGAGTGTTCTTTGGTCTCAGGGCAATGACTGCCTGTGGTGAGTTGAGGTTATAGGTTTAGGACAGTTACCAATATTCATCTTAATCTGGATGCATTTAAGGGCATTAAAAAACATGGTTGCGTCCATGACGGTACAGAAATTGTTTTGTGGAAATGGAACGAAGGCGATAACCAAAAGTGGATCATATTCCCGTATTGTAAGTCCTTCCAACTTTGCTCGATAATATGTTTCCATGGTAATCATTTTGTTGGCTACTTGCTCCCCAAAAGAAAATATATTTTAAATCAGTCAAAAGGGTTTTCTTATTGACTTTATGTTATGTTTTTGTGCAGGATTTGTGTGAGTGTGAAGTTTTGATAATCAACCATGACAGATGCTTTGTTTCACGTCATGTGGCGTTCTTGTGTTTTTTGAGTGATGACGTGTTTAAATAACAATGATCGTGTTTCTTATAAATGTCCAATTTGACATGTTTGCATGTTTGTTATGCCATTTTGTAACACTTAGATTTATGCTCATTGTTTCTTTTGGACAAAATTAGTTGGTTGATGACAGCTATTAAAGTATCGTATGTGTTTGGTTCTAATGGTTTCAATTTTTGTGTGGTTGGTTATTGTGGTTTCATTTTGTTTCTGAAATTATTATTTTTGATATTCAATTTTATAATTGTCTTTTATTTTTTTACTCGCTACAATATCAAGTACGTGTTAAACACATGTTCCTTTGATACTACTTCTATAACATTCATATGTTTGTTGTCAGAAGAAAATAGGATAGAAACTGAATATCATAATCACTAGTTTCTTCACGGATCGTGTTAGTTCATTTTTCAAATCAATATTTTTCCCCTATGTTTGGGTTATGAGAAAATCGACCTAGGATAATCTTCAAAGGAATACTCGATGTTTTAGGCACAAAAGATTGATCAAGAACTAGAGAGAATTTGGTATGTTAATTTTGTATGTTGAGAGAGAGAGAGAGAGAGAGAGAGAGAGATAGAGAGAGAGAGATTGCTAGAATACCCAACATGTCTGCTTCTTTACCAGCAGTAGCTAAAGCAACAAATTTAGATTCCATTGTAGAACTTGTAATGCAAGTTTTCTTCTTAGAAGCCCAAGAGATGGCTAGAATAACCACCCACTTGTTGAGGAGTGATACTCTAAGTATGAAATCCAACTTTCATCTAAATACCCTTCTAGTACCGAAGGATATCCCAAGTAACTCAAACCATAATATGCAGTTCCTTTGAGATACTTATATACTCTTTGAATTGCATGCAAACATTGAGTACTAGGATTACTAGTGTATCTACTCAATCTTCCCACGCCATAGGCAATATCAAGTTTGGTACTTGTCATGGTATACATCAAGCTCCCAATTTCCTTAGAGTATTCCATTTTGAAATGGCTTTTCGGTATTAGGTTTATTCAATTCTCATGGGTAAGTATACCGGAGAACCATCACCAAAGTTAAACTTATTGAGAATTTTCTTAATATAATGTGATTGTTTTCATAACAATTTGTCTATCCGTAATCCGCCTAATCCTATCCAAAGATCACATCAGCATCCGCCATGTCCTTCATATAAACTTAGACAACAACAATCTCTTTGTATCATCTACTAGATCTTGGTGTCGTCCCAAAGATCAAAATTCATCACACAAACAAATGATAACACCAGAACTAGTAACATCAAATTTACAATAAACATATTTATCATACTGGGTTAAATAAACCCACTGGATAACATGACATCATCAAACTTTTGATTATTCCATGCTTAGGTGTTTGTTTCAGCCCCAGAAAGATTTCACAAGTTTACAAACCATATGCTTGTTTACGGCATAAAACCTTCTGCTGGATTCATGTAAAATTTTTCATCAAGTTCACCATTCAAGAAGGATATCTTTCACATCTAATGAATAATCATATTATGTATAGTCGCGCTATGGCAACCAACAGTCTAATGGTAGAAATTCATGCCACTAGAGCATAAGTGTCAAATAGTCAATATCAGGTTTTCATTATTGCCTAAACCCTTGAATCACTAATCAAGCTTTAAACATATCAATGGTCCATCAACTTTCATTTTATTTTTGAAGATCCATTTACACCCAAGTGGTTTATAACCTAGAGGCAAATCTAGTGGAATGTGCAAGATAGGGCAAGCTAGGTTCATTTACAACATCTGGTGGTGCCCTCGTGGGCACGTTCCTCTCTGGGTCGGCCTGGTATAATCGAAATAACACGTAAGCCTTATTCTAAAAAATTGAAGATATTTCATAAAAAAATACATCTTGACACTCCATGTCCTTTTTAAATGTCTTAGGATCATCTTCTATCATATAACAATAAGAATATTGAGAACCAATTTCATCTCTCGATCCTTCCACAAAATATATTTGAATGTCAGAACCAATTTTTTTGGCAATTCGGCCTCTTTTACTTTTCTGAGTCTCTTGTATTTTCGGTGCAACAACATCATCTAATTTTTCTGGATTTGGCACTTCACTAGTGTTGGGAGTCAAATCCTTAGGCCGAAAAATTGATGAAAAATCTCATTTCATCAAAAATCCGATCACGTGATTAAATCACGGTGTGAACTGACATCGAATCATTAGGTTCCATTACATAGAACCTATAAGTCTTGGAATGCTCAGCATATCTGATAGGTCATAGATTTGTGGTTTGGGCTAGGCAATCATCTGTATAAGTCTTGGTAGGGTCTTGGTCATGTTGGATGTGTTTGTATAGTTGTTGATGTGTGTTTATGGCTGGGTTGGTGTTTACGACCGTAAATTGGTGTTCAGCCGTAAACGGGTGTTCGGTCGTGAACCCCGTTTACGGCCAGTCTGTCCCTATATATAGTATGTGTCAGAGTCTGTCAGTAGAGACGTATCCATAGTGTTTACGGTCAACTGTGCGTGTAACTCAAGGTGTACCAGAGGTTCTTCTCTAATAGACGTGTGCATTGCTTGATAATCTTGTTCTTCTACTCATTCTTGTTCTGGTTTGTTTTGATCACTGGTTTGGATCTTGTAATTGGGACCTTACAATTGGTATCAGAGGAAATCTGGTGTCAAAACAACTTTAGTTGAGTTTACGGTGGGAAGGATCTTCAATTTCTTCATTGTTCAAGCTTGGTTCTGCATTTGTTTGAGTTGTCACAGCCAAGGGAATCAAAATCTGCACGAAAAACACTTGTTCTCATCATTTCTGGGTGTTTACGGTTAGTAGTGTTGAAGGGAGTTGTAACACCGTAATTTTTCAAACAGATTTTTCATTTTAAAATCGAATACTTTTCATAACAAATTGTATGGAAATCTCGTTTATTCAAATTACAAAACACAACTCCATTAAAAATCCAGGATCCTCAAAACATAACTCTTTCTCTGGTGTGTACAATCAAGCCGGTGCCTTCCCGCGATTCCTGAGAACAACCTGAAACACATAACACATAACACGGTAAGCACGAAGCTTAGTGAGTTCCCCAAAATACCACATACAACACATACGCCACTCGAGGCTATAGTGCGACCCTCCGGTCGATGTGTCTCAGCGGAACCCTCCAGTCCCGTAGCTCGTTGGACCCTCTGGTCCGGTCATAGCTCGTTGGACCCTTCGGTCCGGTCTGTATCGTTGGACCCTTCGGTTCGGTCTATATCGTTGGACCCTTCGGTCCGGTCTATATCGTTGGACCCTTCGGTCCGGTCTATACAACACATAGCATGCATATATCACAATGCACATAATCTCATACATACACATAGCACACAAGACCCTCCGGTCTACATATAGATACCACTCTAGGTAATGTATAGTGAGAAGACTCACCTGGCCAGCAGCAAGTAAAGACCCGCTCCCGGATCTCGAACTAGCCTCCACCACCTACACAAAGGATGAATATCTCTAAGTGATACTCTCATCACAACTCTAATGACCGAAAGCTATTCTCCTCTCTTTAACTTTTTGAAGTGGGATAAAAGACCATTTTACCCCTCCATGGTCTTTACTACTTATGTTGATCAAAGCCCCAAAGTCAACAGAAGTCAAACTCGAGTCAACAGTCCATGTTTGACCCGACTCGCCGAGTGCACCCTTGCTACTCGTCGAGTCCACTTACTTTCCTCAGAAATCTCGTGACAGTCCAGCTCAGCTCGTCGAGTTGACCCCCAACTCGTCGAGCTATCGCATGCTCAAGCTCATCGGGACAAACCCTCACTGACTCGTCGAGTCAACTCATGGACTCGACGAGTCCCCTCGGTCTGATTCCTCATTCAGACGTCCAAAGTCAGATCTCTCATTCCAAACCCTAGATCTAGCCCTTTAAGACACCAGAGGCACATAAAGTCTCGACCTTTACGTTCATGCATGTCACAAATGCCTCAAGATGCCAAAACAAGCCCTTCTTAAGGTGTTAAGCACAACAACCCTCATTGGATGAATAAAGTTGGGACCTTTGGACTCTAGGGACCTTACAAGGTCCAGATCTGAGGACTAGGCTTCTAGCTAATCCATTTTACTCAAAGTCCCAAACCAAAGGTGGTAAAAGCCCTAGAACTCCAAACACATGAGATCTAACCAAAATAATGAGAAAGGTGCAGACTTTTACCTTCCTCAGAAGCTCTGGACGATCTATCACTGGATTCAACTTTCCCCCTCTTGATCCTTGCTTGATCTCCTTCTCTTCTTCTCAAATGATGCACTAAAAATCCCAAGATAGCTTCTCTCTCACTTTCTAGCTCAAATGACCTTTAGGGTTTGCTTCCAGGGAAAGGGTGGCCGTAAATGAGGCTATAAGTGCCTTTAAATAGGTCCCAAACCCCGGAAATTAGGGTTTCTCTAATCAGCGCCTACTCGGTGAGTCCCTCTCCTCGGACTCGTCGAGTCCACTCATTAAATCCACGGGAGAAACCCGACTTGACTCGGCGAGTTGGACCCTCAACTCGTCGAGTCCCTCCTTTAATCACAAGATTAACCTACACCATAATACCTTTGAAAATCCGGATGTTACAATTCTCCCCCACTTGAATTAGATTTCGCCCTCGAAATCACTTAACCACTCACATAATGAAATCATCAACCCAAAAGGCACCACCGAAAGGATCTCATACTACACCGATATCTTTCTCTATGGACACCCAAAACCACACAAAAATCCCAAGACCAGAACTGAACCAACTCTTCCGTCGCTAATATACTCCTTCCCACTATCCGGAAGCTCTAGTGGCCTGACCCGCCGCCAGACCGCCTACTCAAGCGATCACCATGATATTCGTTCCTTGAATATCAAACCCTGATAACTCACTGATCCTCTGATTCTCACAAGAGCAAATCCAACCATCGGTTACCGCTCACTCATATCATCATGCTAATGATCCAAATCACGCTCCAAAAACGGAAGGGTCCACACCCCACCAGGGATCATACACTAAACTGCTATCAGAACCCATCTGAATAAAGGATCCTTAACACTCTGCCCTTCAGACACAAAAGAATAACCAGGCTCGCTCAGAAGTGTCCTCAGACATCACAATCACAAGTCCCAGCTTCGTTCTTCATACCCCTTTTTAATACTGAGC